ATATAAACAGAAATCTATTTTATAGCAATATATTGGGGGGACATTTTGACCTACATGTAAGCTATGTAACTATGTTGCTATAAATATTAACATTCGCAGCTTAAATCCAAAAAACTTTATTAAAATATTTACCTCAGAATGCTACAGAGTTGTGTTAGATTCTTAATCGCGTAACTCTATCTGGACAAGTCGCAACCTTACACCACTGTTCCCTACCTCATAGCACAGTAAATGTAATCAGCACAGTGACTTTACCTCACGTGTCTGTACGCAAGAAGTAAAACTTTTACCTCAGCCCGTGTCTCACCGCCTCGCTGCTTAGCAACATCACTGCCGCCAATCTGATGTTGGTTTCCCGCCAAAATCAGGGGTCAGAGGGCAGGTGGGCGGGGCCTGAGGGCAGGTGGGCGTGGCCTGATGGCAGGTGGGCGGGGCCTGGGGGCAGGTGGGCGGGGCCTGAGGGCAGGTGGGCGGGGCCTGAGGGAGGGGGGCGTGTCCTGCGTGGGTCAGCGTTGAGCTCTGATGAAGCCACCTTTGGGTGTGGATGCAGGTCACAGTGGGATGATGGACCGCCTTGCTCCTCGAGAATGCAACGTGAACGTTCGTTGCGATCACAGATCGCGGACGGTCGTCCGACTTCTCTCAATGGAACAACCAAACACAGCCACGGATTATTCTCTCTCTCTCGTGGGCGTATGTGTCAACAGGGGCCGTCCATAAGTGACGTCACGCGATTTTGGACGATTTTTGACCCCCCCCCCCCCCTCGTCACACGGCGTCACAAAAAGTCAGACCCCCCCCCTCAACTATGACGTCACAAAGCTCTGCCCATCCCCTCCCCCAAAATCATATTTCCATTTTTAAAATAAAACATGCTTCAAATCGCTTAAAACTATTGTCATTGTAGTGCGTATTTAATGTGGCGCTGCACTCTGATGTTGTAGGAGTGTTGTTATAACAATTAGTGTTGTTATAACAATTATATATTTATTTAAAGTTGGCATTTTGATGTGACGTCACATTTCTCACCCCCCCTCCTCGTCACACATCGTCACAAATGTCTGACCCCCCCCCCCTAGTTGCGTGACGTCATTTATGGACGGCCCCCAATGAGGGCGGGAGCAGGCAGGAGACGTGATCAGGAAGCGGCGCCCGCAACACCAAAACAGAAGTCGCCGAAATAAGAAGTAAAACAAATGATAGTGGTGGACGTCAAGAAGAAGAAGGGGAAGAGAGAAGGAGAGCGAGGTAGGGGAGGGGAAGGCAGAGCTTTGTGACGCCATATTTGAGGGGGAGTTAGAGTTTTTGTGACGCCGTATGACGAGTGGGTGAGGGGGGGGTCAAAAATCGTCCAAAATCGTCCAAAATCGCGTGACGTCTTTTATGGACGGCCCCTTGGGCGTCCTCACAGCAGCCTGGCTGCCAGCGGTCACCTGCCGGGCCACGCCGGCGCCGTGCGAATTCCTCGCCATCCCACGTGGCCGGATGGGAGGGCGAGCTCCTGCCCCTATGGGGAGTCTTCACCGTGTCAGTATGCCGGCCAGGGAAGATTCGTGTCCATGGCAAGCGAGCTGGGCTGAAGCTGCACCTTCTACCTCGTCGTGGGTCCGGCCAGAACTGCGCTGCTGCACTGCACAGACGTTGTGGACGTCTGTGGACTGCGGTGGCCCCCTTCTCTCTCCTGGCTCCAGCCCATCGCTCACCACCCTTTGTCTTCTCAATACAACGATGCCTCATTACTTTTTCAGCCCCCAAGCTTTCTGTCACCCCCCCCCCAAGCTGCGAACAGGCCTATCAAAACCCCTCCTTATCCATCCATATTTTTTTACTGTCATCAAAAGTACACCAGCACTTTACAATAACCCAATTCTTCATTAATTCATCAAGCTATATACGATTTTATAATTGCTGTAAAACACCTTCGTAAAGAAGCTATATAAATCTCATTAAGATTAGATAAGAACCGTGATTGGACCAGCCAAACATCCCCCGACTATGTCGATGGAGAGGCCCTTGAATGTGGAGTATTTCCCTGTTGACAAAACTCCTTATCTTATCCATCATGCTGTATTTGAGCGTATGCCAGCGTTAGTGATAAGTGCATTGATGAATCGTGGGTTAAGTTTGTCTCCTTTTTGAGCAGGAGATGTATTGTAAGGAAGAAGTGACAGGTACATGACCATCAGCTGTGCCGCTTATATTAACTACAAATCGGCGTTTCCTGGTTCTATCGTAGTAATGTATCCTCAAGATAACGTGCTACTGATCATACATTTTGCAGTGTAAAGGACAATGCTAATGGTTATGGACACGGATTGAATGATAGAATATGGAAAATGACGAAACTGATTGTCTCACATTGTTTTAATCCAAGTCCACACCTTAGAGATGACTCAGATGAGTTGTGCAACCAAATCACTCGAAATCGTGTGACTGTGCGAATAGTTGCACAACAAAAAACAAGTCTCAGTGACTAAATTGTCTGCCCACTGTTCTGGTTACGACGACTCCTCACCTGCATCTGGATTGTAACTATTTATCACAGTTTCGGAACTGTGCAGAGCGTGATGATGCGATACTACGTTGTAATGATTCAATAAGGAGATCGATGCTTGAAAGTAGTCTCTTTTGGTGATGGTGCAGTTGTGGAGAGAGTGGAGAGTTTCCTATACCTGGGCAGTGTGCTCATGACCGGCTCCGGTTTAACAGCAGAGGTCTCACTCCGAATCAGTCAAGCGGCATTATCTTTTCATTGGTTGCGTAATGCTGTGTGGGAGCTAACTTCAGTTCAATTCATTGATTAGGTGAGCCATTCGGCTCTTGAATCGGGTGCAACCGCAACAAACAAAAACATGAACAAGAAACATTTTAAAGTGATTACGTGCAACAGAAAAATCCAGGAAAAAACAGCAAAGTCTTCCAGATAAAGCACCGAATATCAACGCTGTGTGCAAGAATCCCAGTGGGATGCAAGTCAAACAATAACAACCATAAGACAATTTAGATTATCAGTCTAACTCTGTACTACAACAAACAAATATGGCTAAACCAGAACCTTTTCGAAATCACCAAAATAAAGCTACAAAAACAATGTAACAACAGTAATCATACGAACTGTGATTCCAATTTAACAATAAACGATACACATAACATGTACGAGCAAACTTTGCAACCATAGCTGGCTGCATGAGTCACTGCATAACAGCAGGAGTATCAGTAGGAATATAAAAAAAATTCAATGTATCTTTAAAGATTAGCACACTATAATCAAAACACAAGATGTTACTTTGCAGCGGTCATCCGGAGCGATACATTTGATTTCAGGCCACTGAATAGCAGTGGCAGCTAGGGTTGTACAACTCCTCTAGAGCATTCTAGATTTGAAGCTTTCGTGACTGCAAGGATTCATACTCTTAGTTATTTCGGTAAGGTCACCATGTAGGTAAAAAATGAAATAAAAATTTATAAAAATAACTCACTTGATGCGGCAAATCTGGCAGTGACGGTCCCACCTGATGACGGAGACTTGTGTTGCCTCCGAAACGTCGTGATTTTATTGTTTTATTTTTATCAATTTTTAATTCATTTTTTACCTACGTGACTTTACCGAAAGAACTAAGAGTATGAATCCTCTAGAGCAGTTTTGAGTGAAGATCTCATAGGTAGTGATTCAAGTTGCAGTTTATTGGAAATAGCATTCCAGACCCTGGGGGCTTTAATAGCAAAGGCCCTTGCTCCAGTATTTGTACGGCAATAGGGAATGTGAAGCTGGTAAATGAGCGAGAGACCTTAGGTCAAATTTGTTCTTTGAAACAGAGAGGAGATCCAGCAGGTAGTCTACGGATTTGTTGTCGTCATATGCATCATGAGATGCGGCGTATTTTCATAGACAAGCAGTACATTGCACACCATTGGGTGTCAAAAACGTCGTCTTCCTCATGCTCACATTTCCCTCATGATGCATATTACGACCAACGAAGGTGGCGTCTCTAGCTCCGCACGAAGCTTCGGGTCTTCTCGGCCACAGTCAGTCCCTTCCTTCTCTATGCTTGCGAAGCGTGGACCCCCCTGATGGAGCATCTTCGTCAATTGATGATGATGTTGGTGATGGTGACGATGGTGCTGATGGTGAATCGCAGGGATGAGGAGGCGTGGTGACGTGAGCGCTCACTGCAGTCAAAGGAGCGGACACACGAACCTGCGATTTGTTCTGCACCGGCGACACCTCTCATGTCCGCCAACCTGAACCTCACCATCCCCCCTCACCCTACCCCTCCATGCTCACCACTCCCTTCCCTCAATTTTCACCTCACCCTCCCCTCACCCTCACCTAACCTCACCCTCCGTTCCACCTTCCCCTCACCCTCTCCTCACCATCCCCCCTCTCCACCGTTTATTGGGTTACATGTTGTTTATGCCATTTATTGTGAAAATTCCGTCACAGTTCCTATGATCACTGTTTCATTGCTTTCATGGCTTTATTTTGGTGATTTCGAAAAGTATATTGGTTTGGCCATGTTTGTGTTGTTGTAGTACAGAGTTAGACTGATGGCCTTAATCTAAGTTGTCTTGTGGTTGTTGTTGGTTGTTTGACTTGCATCCCACTGCGATTTTTGCACACAGCGTTGGTGTACGGTGATTTTTTTTCTGCAATGTTTTGCTGTCTTTTCTCGGATTTCTGTTTGCACTCAGTCACATATTCACTTTAAGATGTTTTGTTCATTTTTTTTGTTGCGGTTGCACCCGATTCAAGAGCCGAATGGCTCACAGAGCTATACAAAATAAATGAACTTGAACTTGAACCTAACCTCACCCTCCGTTCCACCTTCCCCTCACCCTCACTTCACCCTCTCCTCACCATCCCCCCTCTCCACCGTTAATTGGGTTTCTGTCTCTCCTCATCCTCAGGATGCACGACTCAGATCCACGATCTCCAATCGATCATTACAACGCCCCACCCACATCCCAGGGTAGAGAGGCTGCGAGAATCTCTGCCGAACCTCGTAGATCACCTCCATGGAGTCTGCACGGTAAAACGCCAGGAGCCCCCCGTCCCAGTGCAGGTGAAGCCCGATTCTGCGGGGGGAGGGGGCCCCCCTTACCGCCAGTGCAGTCTTCACTCCACCATGAACCACTGAGAAGTTGTCGTCATATTTCTCTAAACACCAGGACGCGTCGCTCCCTCCCAGCTGCTGTGCAGCACGAACCCCTCTCCGTGGGATTGTCCCGTACGCGACTCCAACCCGACACAGCCGCGCGTCCCCCACGTCCACCTCCCAATATTGGTGGCCCGACGAGAAGCTCTCACAGCACAGGGCTTGTGGACAGTAATCAAACCGATGTGGGTGATTAGGGCGACCCTGGGAGGCAAGGACTGCTGTCATTGTCCTGAGATCCGAGGAGATCTGGAGTCGGACATCAGCTGAATTTGTGTCCAGAGTTGGTGAGCGTCCGTCTGTGACAACAGCGATGCCAACATCACTACACAACACCGTCATCACCATCATCCACCATCAACATTACCATCACCAACCATTATCTTTACCATCAGCAATAACATCACAAACATACACATCACCAAGCATCCTTGCCATCAATATCATCGATGACAACATAAACATCACCATCACCACCATCATCAACACTACGCACATCAACATCACTATCGCAATAAGCAACATCACAACCATCATCACCACCACGAGCACCATCACAAACAATCACCACCATCATTACCATCCCCATTATTTCCATCACCACAATCTTCATCACTATCACCAAAATCACCAACACGACCAACATCATCATAACCATCACAACGACCATCAAAATCATCATCACCACCATCACTACCATGACCACCATAACCAATATCATCACTACTACCATCAGCGCGATCAGCAAAACCATCACAACCTTCACCACCTATATTATCGCCAATGTCACCATCATTACCATCACCACGACCGTCACTGACATCACCACAACCAACACCATCACCAATGCTATCACCATTCCCATCACTCACATCACTAACATCAGCATCAGTACCACCATCATCACGACCACTATCACCATTATTATGACCATTACCAGCATCAGGAACTCATATGAGGTTGAAACTGCCCAGTAGAGGCCCTGGACTGGATAAGATATCACCTGCTACTGATATTAGACATGGCGGGTAATCAAACCCAGGTAACTGGGTTCGTAGTGCAGTGTGCTAACCACTATGCCACCACTCCCCCCACACACAAATGCACAGACACATTCACAGGCACACACTCCATCTCAACATCACAATTACCCCTGACTCGTAATGCTGATTATTTATACAAGAACGCCACACTGAGTCTCATGGTGTTGTTAAGTAGGGTCCTGCATTGGGATGTGTAAGATCCCCTGTGTAGCCTAAACAGACCATTGGGGCAAGTGCTTTTAGCGAGCGTCTACGAAGACCGGCACGGCACACAAAAACGTGGGTGGCCAGCACCACGCCCGACCACCTTTGTCTCCCTAGTGGCGATTATGTTCAAACACCGCATCAAGTTCCATGATGTTAACAAAGATAAATATTCCCCGTGTTGCCTTAACAGACTGTCGGGGCAAATCAGCACATTTGAAAGCTGGCACAGCACATGAGGGGCTTAGTGGCCAGCACGACGCCTGGCCACCTTTGTCTCTCTAGTGGTGATGTTTACACACAAAACTAGGTAAGCATTTCAAGCTGAGTCGACCTCGTGCACACACACACATGATGATAATTTATCGTGAAGATGGCCCCATCACCCATGTTTCACACTGAAGAACTCACACAGGTATTTGGCCACAGTTCCCTCGTTGACTTTAAGCGAGACAATGTCCTCTTGGCTGGGAGCTGAGTGTGGATCTGCTGTAACCCTCCCTGCCCTGTGAAAGCAGAACAGACATGGCTACTGTCTCACATAGAGCATCGTCACTCAGGATCATCACTCAGGATCATCACAGCTCCATCATATCGAGACTCATCACACATAACATCATCACACACAGCACCATCAGACAGCATCACCACACAAAGCATCTTCACACAGCTTCACCAGATACAGCTTCATAACACAGCATCACCACACACAGCCTCATCACACAGCATCATCACCACACAGCATCACCCCACACAGCATCCCCACACACAGCCAGTGTCTCACTGCCCGCACCCCACACTCAGTCCCATGTTGTCGTGTGTCGAGTCGTGAGTGATAGTCGTCTTTTACCTGCGCGTCTCCTCCAGGTGCCCCTATGGGAGAGAGAGAGATGCGTTACTGTGACTCTACCTCCAATCCCTTGTGATCAGTGGAGTTCCCACTGCAACACCGTGGGTGGAAAATACACCCCAAAGTCTTGGCTTATGACCCTATGATCACCAATATTTCAGAGTGAGACCGGTTGATAGTCAACTATAAACCACTATTTAGATTTTTCCACGTAAGTCCCACGGAGCTATAGAGCTCTTTTTCAGAAGCGACCTGGTCACAAATAATAGCTCAATGAAGTGCTTCATTACGTGGAAATTTATAGCAGCCCAATACTCTAACCGCACGTTATCAAATGTGGAATGAAAAACTGGAGGACCCGGATAAAAATCCATGTGACCATGGAGAGAGACATGAAAACTACAAATATATAAGGACGTCAGGTTTGGGATTAAATCCACGACCTCTGGTATCCAGGCGAGGTAGTTAACATCTCGCCGCCCCCATGAGGACCAACACTGATTTGCAGGGCAAATATTTCAGAGTTAGACCGCTTGATATTGATCTGTGTTGAGAGTAACGTATGACTAGAAGTTTCTGGAGTTATCAATGCACATGGTGCAGATCTTGTAGAAGTGATGTTCAATACACAATGATATCATTAATAAGTATATGAGACCGTATTTATTTTAGCATCCCAGATATGAACAATTAAGGTAGCGCATCCACGTGGAGGTACACAAAGTAAAAAACAGAGATGACATCTGGTCGTGAGCAGGAGCTGGTGGATTGTTGCATCGCGGCATCATGAGATGTGGCAATGTTTTGGGGAGGCCTTCATCAATAAGTAGATAGATTATGGCTGATGATGATCATGAATACCATGTACATTGTTGTTCTATGGTTGATTTAAAAAGTTAAATTCCATTAACAGTTAGTTAAATTAACAATGAAACAAACTTAATGGGAATCTGTTTAAGGACGGGAGAGATAATTAATTTAACTGAGAAAATCTGAGCTGGCCTTCCAAATGGCAGCCACTGGAGCTGCGATGCGAGTCCATGAGTGGAGCTGTGTTCTCAAGCCCAGGAGCCTCCCTCTGCTGCTGCTGCTGGTGAGAGGGCTCTGTGCCAATAGCGACACTGGAAACTCATCGCTCACCTGCAGGAACGCGAGCGAGTCCCTCTCCTGCGCTAGGGCCTGCAGACGAGTGGCTGCTGCCTGGAGTTCGCTGATCTCGCGCTGGTAGCGAGCGATCTTCTTCTCGATCTGGGACAGCAGCTCACGCCCTTTCTGCTCCGCTTGCTCTAAAGCCGCCTTCTCCTCTGCATCCAACGCTGCTCTCGCGCGGGTGAATCTGACCGAGATTGAGACCTTTTCATCTGTCATGGATCCCTGCAAAGAGACATAAATGCCACCTCTGTTCATTAAATGTCTGGTCCTTTGTTAAATGACGTTCAGATCAGTGTGACCCGAGTGCAACTCCAAGGTGTCCAGACAGTGATACGAGTCTGAAGCACTGAGTCCTCCTTCTTCCTCTGCCTCTGATAACGCCACTTTGCATTTTCACTACAACACAATTCGCCAAAACTGGCGGGGGCTGTGAGGCAATGAAATCATCAAATACCATCATGAGTACATTTAGCATCCATGCCATTATCCTTGTGCAAGGTTATCAGGACGATGCTTTGTTTACCTTCGCATGAAGCGAAGGGAAATCTGTAAAGAGCCTTAATGAAATGGGAAGTTAGGCCAATTCCTCCTTAAATTAATGTTTTGAATGTGAGAGAAAACCACATGTACGGCTGAAGAGAGGGGATCATGAAACCACTTGCTATACTGCCAATTGGCCACCCCAAAGCTTGAGTGATGTCAGTATGATGGTGTACAACAGTCTGTGTGTGATCCACCAACTCTTCCACCAGAGTATTGGATAAGAGGTATGTACCACCTCATCTGACCAATATAGTTAACAGTCGTTGAAGTGGTTAGTTGTATGGAGATATGGGAATGTGGAATTTCCACCACTGCTTCAGTTTCTCAGTGGAGATGAGAACCACCTCTTTGATCGTCCTGATTATTAAGGCGCATTAACCGTTGTTTCTTTAGTCCCACAATGTGTTTAGAGCCAATGGAAGTCCACGTGAATGAATGGAGTTGTTCTCCATCATAAACTCTACTCAGGGTGGAGTCACGGGGTCACAGAGTCCGGCCCAGACGCGGTACCTGCACATCCCTACGATCGGCCTCCATCTGCCTCACGGACTCCTCCGCCTCCTTCCTTTTCTCCTCCACAGCCCGCGTCTCCTCTCCCACTTGTTTCTGTGAGAGACGTCACCAGGGGAGACTCCACTTACTCCATGAGCGTCCCCTCTTTCCCCCGCTCCACGCGAACCCCTCCAAAATGATTGGGGCAGTAGCCCCGGAGGAGCACGCGCAGAAGGGAACTCATTTTTCGAAGAGCTCAAACGTGCGCAGGGCTACCAAAGTAGTGGGTGGGGCTACCTAAGTTGTTGGTGGATCTGCCTCAGCAGTGGGCAGAGCTACCTGCGTATTGGGTGGAGCTACATGCGTAGTGGATTGGGCTACCTGCGTAGTGGATTGGGCTACCTGCGTAGTGGTTGGGGCTGCGTGAGTAGTGAGTGGTGCTGAGTAGTGGGTGGAGCTACCTAAGCAGTGGGTGGGGATACCTGAGCATTGGGAAGGGCTACCTGAGCAGAGGGTGTGGCTACCTGAGTAGTGGGTGTGGCTACCTGAGTAGTGGGTGGGGCTACCTGAGCAGTGGGTGGAGCTACCTAAGTATTAGGTGTGGCTACTGGAGCTATCTGGGCAGTGGGCGGGGCTACCTAAGTAGTGGGTGGAGCTACCTGAGTAGTGGGTGGAGTTGCCTCAGCAGTGGGCAGGGCTAATGGAGTAGTGAGCAGGGCTACTGGAGTAGTGGGCGGGGCTACCTGAGTAATGAGTGGTTATCAGAGTGGTGGGCGGGGCTACTCGAGTGGTGGTTGGGGCTACATGAGTAGTGGGCGGGCCTATCCGAGTCGTGGACGGGGCTATCTGAGTAGTGGGTGGACAGGGCACCATAGTGGTGAGATGTTATCTGCCTTGCCTATTAAACAGGAGGTCGTGGGTTCGAACCAGACCCGGATGCATGTGTAGTGTAGTAGAACGACACTACTGTATTGGCTCCGTATGGGGGCTGTCGGCAGTTGTCACGGAGGTCGTGTCGGGCCGTGACACTTTGCGTGAACCCAACAGGACACGTGACCGGATAAAAGCGGGCCAGGGGCCCCAGGGGGGGGGGGCGTGGCCTGGGGCAGAGCCAGCCATGCCGGAGTGGTTATAAGCGGGGTGTGGATGGAGAGCTGGTCTGTTCTGAGCTGTTCTGGACTGTTCTGTGATGTTCTTCTGGGTCATCTCTGGGATGAAGCTCTCCGGTCTCCGCTAGTGGACCAGGCAGCGTGTTGGGCTGTCCTGGTCCAGTGATGTTGTATCCCCGTGTTGGTTAAGTTAGGAAAGGTGGCTACCACCTTAAGTCGTTATGGTAAGTGTTAATTGTTATGTTACCTTATAAATAGAATTGCCTCCAAAGTTCCAGTGTGCGCCTGAATTTAACCCACTACACCTGTATACAGTCGACCCTTCCACCTCGTGGGGGTTAGGGGCGCAGGCCGCCCATGATCTGGAAAAATGCGTAAAATGTTTTGGTCCCCTTGGCGAGCGAAGCGGTACAAAAAGATACGAGAAAGGCGAGATACAAAGATCACTGCGAGATCACTGCGAGAAATCAAGTGAGCGGCTGCCGTAAACACGCTTGGTGCCCTCCAAACCAGCGCATAGAACCGCAGTTATTTTCGCAAACTAACTTTAAAAAAAATTTAACTTTAAAAAAATTGTGTATATTTATGGTCCGTGTGTCCCGCGCGTGACGTCACTCCAAATGAGGCCAACCCCCCTCATTAATATTCATGAACAGGTGGGGTCCTCCACATGGACTCCCCCCACCTCATTAATAATCATGAACGGGTGACGTCACTCCACATACCGCACCCCTCCCCAATAACCATTAGCGGGTTACATCACTCCACATTAATCATGAGTTGAACATTTTTTTTTCTGAATATTTCAGATTTACTGCAATATACACCCATCATTGGACGGACAAACAAGTTAGCTAAAATATTAAATACATGAATATTATACAGTACCGTACATATAATTTATGCATTTATGAGTTACTAAACTTTTTGTGTGTCATCTGCTGGCCTTCGCGTATCGACTGCGCCTTTCGCAAAACTCCCAAAAATGCTCATTTAATTTCTTATGCCGACCCCGCGATATATCGAAACCGCAATGGGGAAAGTCGCGATGCAGAAGGGTCGACTGTACTAGGAATCTACCGTTCAAACACTCGTTTGAAAAATAAATTGACGGGCATGTAAAATATTAAATCCACTTTAAAATGAGGCTGAGCCACTCACTGTGGTTTCGTTATAATTAGATGTTGCTGTTGAGAGCCAATGACAGAGTTCATCAGCTGATGCTGCGGTATCGTGGGTACTACTCGGTGACCATGAGAACCTCCTCCTCACCTTTCGTTTGTCGTGCTCCACCTTGAGAGTGACGAGCTCGTGGCCTCGATGATCCACAGTGACGGTGCAGTCCCTGCAGACAAGGCGTCCGTCGTTAACGCAGTAGAAGCGGTACTCGTCTCCGTGCTCCGCGCACCGTCGATTCTCCAGGTTCACACCGGGCGACACCAGGACGTGGTCACTAAACTTTGCCAACTCCCGGTGGGGCGCGACGTGGGTCATACAGAACGACGTCTCACACTTGAGACAAGTCTTCACTGCGGGCTCCCTGCAATGATCGCAGCAAACAGCAGAAGCAGCAGAATCGGCAGCCATGGGCTCAGCCACTCGCAGCTGCTCGATGAGGTTAGTGAGCGTCACGTTCTTGCTCAGCTTGGGCCTCCGAGGGAAGGTCACTCGGCACTGCGGGCAGGAGAAGAACTCGGCCGCATCCCAAGCGTCTTCCACGCACTTGAGGCAGAACGAGTGGCCGCAGCTGAGCGTGCAGGGGCAGCGGAAGGCGTCCAGGCAGATGGGGCAGGTCAACTCCCCTGGAGCCTCGCTACCACTGGGAGCCGCACTCGCCATGGCCCTGTGGCTTCACTCAGAGACGGACACTGACTGTAGCTCAGGTAGTCGCTGGCTGTAGCTCAGGCAGTCGCTTGATGTATCTCAGGTAGTCGCTGGCTGAAGCTCAGTCAGTTTCTGTAGCTCAGGCAGTCTCTGGCTGTTTCTCAGGCAGTCGCTGGCTGCGTCTGAGACGCTAAACGAGGAACAAGCCACGTAAATAGGTGACAAGGAAGTAGGAAGTCCTTCAGTTTGATTTGCATATCTCGAGATATGCCCTGGAATGTGTTGACGTGTGAGCGAGTACAGACGTCTCCATTCCAGGGGTGGTTTAAAAAAGAAGACTCGGATTACCTCGTCTCAAATCTTCATCCTCACTCACCTCATCACAATTCAACTCACCTCTACTCACCTCATCTCAACTCATCTCACCTCAACTCACCTCACCCCATCGTAACTCAACTCACCTCATCTCACCTCAACAAAACTCACTTCACCTCAACTCACCTAAACTCACTTCAACTCACTTCAACTCACCTCAACTCACCTAATCTCACCTCATCTCAACTCATCGCAACTCGTTTCAGCTGAACTGGCAGGGGAACGCTGCTAGTACACTCGTTGCTCCTTGCCGCTCTACTCCACAAGATTGCTGTTGATATCTTCGTCGTTCAGCCTCATTCTCTAGTTTTAAGTTTAACACTTTAAACTACTTCATGAAAACAATTTGTTCCTGTCTCAAAGTCACGTTCCAGTAGTCGAGCTGTGAGACACCGGTGGGAGTTGTCGCGTTTATCTCGGTCACGGGGCTGTGGCTCAGGATCCAGTTTGTGGAGCCACAAACCACTGGGCGAGGCCCCTTGCTGAACCCGGCACCGTGACCCGCTCATGTGGGCGGAGGGCAGGTGCCCCAGGGGTAGTGCGGCCGTAACACATCAACATCAGCGCGTAAAAAAAAACTAAATAGTACATTTTTTATTCCGGTATCAAAGTGTGAGAAGATAATAATGATAGGTTTCACCCTTTCTGGCAATACAACGTGAGTTGTGTTCAGATGTTCAAACACCAAGTAAGTTTGTGTGGTTAATGCAGACTTTATTCCTTGCAAAAGGCATCAATTTTGTGTTCGAACATCTTAACATCTCATGGGACTTGCCAGTATCAAAATATAAGAATAGGTTTAACCCTTTCTGGAAATTAAACAGGAGTTGTGTTAAGATGTTAAAACACCAAACAGAAACTTTAGCAAGGAATAATGTCTGCATTAACCACACACAGTACTTGTGGTGAATATGCAAACAAAACATGCTCTGATAATATATAGGCACTAGCTGTACTACCCGGCTTCGCCCGGGACTTGGATCCACCACGCCCGGCCGCCTTTGTCTCCCCAGTGCCGATGTTAATACGCCACACCAGTTACTCGTTTGAGGCTGAGTCGACCTAGGGGAGGTTCAAATAATCGTCACCGGTGGTGGCCGTGAGCGGGAATCGAACTCGGTTCGCCGGGTTGGTAGCGCAGCGTAGCGTTAAGCACTACACCCACCGCTCCTCACACACCACACACGCACAGACACACACACAGACACACACACAGACGCACACAGACACACACAGACAGACACAGACAGACACACACACAGACACACAGACAGCACGCTAAGCACTACACTACCGCTCCCCACACACCACACACGCACACACACAGACACACACAGACACACACACACCGACACAGACAGCACGCTAAGCACTACACTACCGTTCCCCCTACACAACACACGCGCGCGCGTCCATAGGTACACATACACGCGCTTGCTGCAGACACACACGACTTTCAGGGTGCGCACGGCAGTAAACGACTGCAATAATAAAGCGGCAATGCTGCGCGAGGAACGCCTTAGACCTGCAACACATTTGTGTAATGCGAGCGTAAACACACAAACACATACAAACACATACACACACATACATACACACACATACACACAAACACATACACACACATACACACACATACATACACACAGACATACAAATACACACAAACACACACATACATACACACAAACACATACACAATACACACAGACATACATGCAGACACACAGAGACACACATAACACACATACATACACACACATACATACACAGAAACACATACACACATACATACACACACATACATACACACAAACACATACACACACGTACATACACACATACATACAGACACACAGACATATACATAAACACATACAAAAAAACCCACATACATACACACAGACATACACACAAACACATACACACACATACATACACACATACATACACAGAAACAAACACATACACACAAACACACACATACATACACACAAACACATACACAATACACACACGCATACATGCAGACACACAGACACACACATAACACACATACATACACACGCATACATACACAGAAACACATACACACACATACATACACACACACATACATGCACACAAACACATGCACACACGTACATACACACATACATACAGACACGCAGACATACACATAAAGACATACAAAAAAACCGACATACACACACACATACACACAAACACATACACACACATACATACACACATACATAGAGACACACAGACATACACATAAACACATACACACATACACATGACCCGGCTTCGCCCGGGACTTGGATCCACGATGGCCGGCCGCCTTTGTCTCCCCAGTGACGATGTTCACACACGACAGCAGTTACGCGTTTGAGGCTGAGTCGACCTAGGGGAGGCCCAGGTCCGTTTCAAATAATCGTCAGCGGTGGTGGGCGTGAGTTGGAATGGAACTGGGGTCGCTCAACCAGCTTAATGACTATTTGTACAAAGAACATATAAAGAATCGATTATAATAACCAGGCTACAGTCCACATTATATACTGGCAGTACACGCACTCAGCTTCATAAGCAGGCTAGAGTGTATATGATAGAGTGGCAGTACGCTCACCGAGTTTAATAAGCAGGCTACAGTCTACATGATAGACTGGCAGTACGCTGACCCAGCTTAATGACTTTGTACAGTGAACATTTAAGTAATCGATTGTTGGCGCGTTGGGTTTAAAAGTAATATAAATTGCACACATTGTGGTGGGGGTGGAGTGAAGAGTAGGAAAAACTTTGATGAATTTACCTCAGTGTGGCGTGGTGGGTGTCGAGGCCTAGTAGCGTGCAGAGCCTGCGGCCTCGCCAAAATTGTCCACCCGGCAGAGGCAGGGTACGGGTGGCGTTCCTTCCCCCCCCCCCTAGCGCTCCAACAATACTGTGTAATGGCTATTATTTAATTATTTACGGAGCCTATGAAAGTGGCGAAGGCGTGGCTAGCCGTTGGCAGGGGCAACCGCCGTCCAATGAAACTGCAGCCCTTGGCGAAGGCGTCGCTAGCCGTTGCCAGGTCCAATGAAAGCGGCGAAGGCGTCGCTAGCCGTTGCCAGGGGCAACCGCCGTCCAATGAAAGTGCGTATGGTCCGAAATCCACACACACACACACACAGACAGACATGCACGATTTTATATATATAGATTGTATTTGTAACTGATTGGCCTACACCAGAGACGGCAGCCTTATTTATGGCCTAGTCTCACCACCAATGTTTGTAGACCAGAGAACACTAAAACACGGTCAGTACAAAGGCAAGAGAAAGCAGTTAGGATCCATTTGCTTTGCCCTGCAATTCCCATACATTTTCTTCGAGGGCACCAAACACGGATTTTTCAACATTGCTTTAATGGCGACAAAAACAAGGAAATTAGCTGGCTCAGGAATACAGAGAAACTTAACAAGATTTGATAACCATATCTCGATTTGTCATGCACTATTGAAACACTTTGCTCAAGGACGCAAACCAAATGTGGCGGATAATAATTTATTGACAACCAAGTTGCAACCAACTCTTCAAAAGTCTCGGCAACAGTAACAGCGCACATTTACATAACCCCGTAAGTCCACCGGCTTAACACGGCGACCCCACAGCGCGTCGACGATCGCAGAACTCCGCGGCGACCGGTCGCACCACAACCCTGACGCGCGCTCCGCTCCCGGGTGACGAGGCAACGCGGCAGAAGCCCACCATCTTGGTGCCCAACATTCACTCACGAGATCGCGGGCAAACTCATGGATCCCCCCCAGGACCCAACGGTAGTGCAGCACTCCAAAGTTTCAAAGCAGCATAAACCTCAACCTTGGCTCGCACACACAACGGTGCCCTTTAATGGATCCACGCAGCCGCAGCCTCGTGACTTGGTTGGTTGCTCTCAACAGCGCTCTGAGCGCCTCTACTCAGCCGCAGTCTTGGTCACTGCCACGCCCGCACGGCAGCACCGCACACAGCTGCTCCACGCACCAGCATCACCGGGCACCGACTCGCCCACACCACAGCAGCCGCTCCTCTGCAGGAGCCCCCCACCCCCCCGCCACCCGGCCCCAGTGAACGACGACCACCCCAGCCCCTCGTGCAGTAGAACCCCTCCTCTTAACGATGTTAATTTGTCCCACGAAACCGGTCGTTAAGTGATTTGGTCGTTAAGTGTGTCTATTAAATACCCGTTAAAGGATTACTTTGTTCTGATAGCTTCGAAAGTTACCCTTTTTCACCCAAAAACGCACTTCATAGTATTTAAAAAATGGATATGAATACATGAAGATACTAACAATATTATAAACAAATACCGACAACAGCCCATCGTCAACAGGGGAATGGTCAATGGAGACCCGTCGTTAAGCGATTAGTCGTTAACATAGGTGATCATTGTGGAGGGGTTCTACACTACACTACTATACACTACTATACACTACACTACTATACACTACACTAGTGTAGTGACATAGAATCGGTCACATAGCAGCATAGCGCTGGCTGCTGACAGGGAAAGGGATCTGCAGCTCACAGCAGCCCTGACTGACAGCAGGTCACATGATAGACCAGAGTTGGATCTAAGGGAAAGGTTATGGAAGGGGCACATCGAGAACCCGTTATTAGATTCTTAGGTTTTTTCGGTAAAGTGACGTAGGTAAAGAAATAAAATTAATAAAAGTAAAATAAAAATCACGACGTTTCGGAGGCAACACAAGCTTCCGTCTTCAGGTGGAACCGTCACAGACGGAAGTTTGTGTTGCCTCCGAAACGTCGTGAGTTTTATTTTTATTTTACTTTTATTAATTTAATTTTTTTACCTACGTGACTTTACCGAAAAAACCTAAGAATATTAATCCTTGCAGTCACGAAAGCTGCAAATCTAGAACCCGTTATTAGGTTCCAGAAAGGGGCGTGGCCGGGGCTGGAGCCAGGCCACACTGGCAGTACAGGTAGTCCTCTACTTACGATGGAGATGCGTTACGACGACCCCATCGTAAGTCAAAAATATCGTAAGTCGAAGATGGCCTAGCCTACCCAGGAGTCTTAAAGAATAGTGGTAATTTAGCAAAACAGAGCAATTTACAGTACCGTACTGTATAAACTATACACTGTATGTATTTATTAATTACAATACTGTATTGCACAGTAAAATGTTAAGGAAAAAAACCAAGGTAAATTCTTAGCCTACCTATATGAACTGCAATTTAATGGAAAGTTTTTTCAGGAAACAATCCTATGAACACGCTGACACCGAGACAACTTAACTCCGTCAACCGCTGGTGAGAGTGAGAGGCATCACACAAGGTGGGAGATGCGTACGTCCCGGCAGCGTCCCAACGTACAGTATCGTTCCTCGTATGTTGCTGCGTTTGCCTGCCGCGCGAAATTTAAAATATTTTACAATTTTGTCGTATCGCTATCGCCATCGTAAGATCGAAATATCGTAAGTCGGACCATCGTAACTCGGGGACTATCTGTATAAGAGGGGCCCAGAGAGGGGACCTCGGGGCTGTCGTTTGGAGTGGGATCTCGTCATGCTGCTGGAGTCTTCACCATCGTCTTCACCATCTCGGCGTCGCCAGTCAGGCAGTCTACCAGCTGTCCTGACTGGGAACCGTAGTTACCAAGTGTGAACTGTTACGGCCGTGTTAATAAAGTGCCTCCTACTCTAAGAGTCAGTCACTACACATAAACCCACAGATGATGATCCCTCTGTATAGTCCAGAACAGAGTATGAGTACCTAACTTTACACACACTCACTTTCACACGCACTCCCCACCACCTCACACAGCACCACCACACACACTACAATATAACACACTACTACACTATACACTACACCACTATACACTACAGTGTGATACTTTGGTTCTTGCCTACTTCTCCAGGCTCGCCTGTATCGCGGCCACTATATTTTTGGTAAGCCAAGTGACGCCCGTGTATAGTGTGGGTCGAGTCTAGCGAGAGATCAATTGATACCAAAACTGAGGCGATTCGAGAGGGTTGGTTTGTCTTGAATTATAACACTGGTCAACACACTTTTTTGGCATAAGGTATTCCAACGGTTTTGATGTAATTTTGGGGTGCTGATTCCAAATCTGGCATCAGTTTTTGTCTATCGCATCAGGTTTTTGAGATATCAAATATTGCATTTTCAATAAAAACTGCAGAAGAAAAATATTAAATAAATGCGGATATCTACATAAAATGATATTATAAACACACTATCCTAAAAATACAGCACCATATTTTAACACTAAAGCAGTCAATGACTCGCAACAACTTCCAATCATAAGTGACAGTTAATTTCGGGTAAAATCAATGAAAATGGAGTATGCCGATAGCATAAAAATGAGATGTGATAGAGCAAATCTGAGATCAGATTTGGAATCAGCACCCTCAAATTAGTCTAACACAGCTGCAAAAGTCCAGGCCAGAAAAAAAAATGTGTTTTTTTTGTTGACCAGTGTTAGTAGCCCAGCCACCCTGCCGACTTTCACGCCATAGAAGATCTCTGGGCAAACGCGGTGCGCTCACGATACACAGGATGACCCCTTCATCCCGACACTCACATCTGAGCCTATGCTCACACACCCTTAAGGCACTTTGAGGCTCAGATGGCGTTTACCATCTGCTTTGGGCTACATTCACAAGCAACCCGACGTCAGGGTGAAGCTCGACACCGCGCGTCGTGCACCACCGCCGGCCTGACACCGTCATCATCAGAGTAGAGGAAGCGAGCCGGCGCCTGCTGGCTCCTTTCTGCCATCGGGAGGTGTCAGAGGCAGCCTCCTTGTGCTCCACTGCCCCTTCCCTGCTCCCCACCGGGTGTCCAAGCTGGAAGCGTGGCCGGTTTCTGGGTACCGCTCTCGTTCCCTGCTGGCTGGAGCTCAAGAGCGGAGAAGCCTGGGGTCTTCCTCCATTCACCCTCTAGTCTCTGGTGGTGACTGACACTTTGTTTGCTGCAGGTGGTTCTAATTTTCAACCACCCGCTTTCCCTATGCAGGTGGACCCCACCCTCCATTGTATTTTCGTTTGTCACTTATTTGTACGATGTGACACAATACACTACACTACTATACTATACACTACTAGACACTACACTACTCTAGACTACTATACTGCACTATTATACACTACTATACTGTACACTACTATAGACTCCTATACACTATAGTATTATACACTCCAATATACACTGGTATACACTACGCAATACACTTCACTGAATACTACACAATACTCTACAATACACGACACTACTATACACTACACAATACACTACAATAGACTACACTATGCATTACTATTGTAGAGGTGTAATTGCGCATGGCTACGAATGTTGAGGTGTGATTATGCATGGCCACGGATGGCCAACAAACACAAGGGGCGGGGTTACGGCTGTACACAAGGGTGGCGCTCGCACCGACGTCCGCATGTGTATCCCCCACGGGCCCCCCCTCGGGGGCGAGTCCTATAAAAGGTGATGAGCTCGAGGGCTCGAGGTCGGGACTCAGCTTTAACCAGAGAAGACGGAAGACCAGCTAGTGTAGGCCCCAGAGCTCCCCTGGCTCGCTGTCCTTATAAGGGCCGACCAGGGCAAGCCGGTAGCGTGGCCCCGAGAGCCCAGACGAAGCTGGTCTGGTGACTCAGGGAGCCGGGATCCCAGCTTAACCAAGCTGGGACAGATAGCCTCCCCTAGTCCCGTAGTGGAGGAATTGGTATAGGTTAGAGGGGTTAGCTGTCGAGAAATCCCTGTAGCCAAGTGACCTGTAATAACTGTGTTGGTGTAATAAATAAGTGTGCCTCCGATCCTGTCGTCAAGCCTCCATATATACTTACTACACTATAAACGACACTATACACTACACAATACTATACACTACTATACATTACACTACACCATACACTATAGGAAACACTACTATACACGACACTATACATTACACTATACATAACTATACACTACAATATACACTACTGTACACTACCCTATACACTATATTATACACTACACTATACACATTTATACCAGTGGCGGCTTGTCAATAGAGGGCGCTGGGGCGCCGCCCCCATCAAGATTCAAGAAATATACATATACAAAAATTATATAAAAATACATAAATAAAATATTTTTTTCATACGATGTGCCGGCTGGTAGTAAGAAAAGCATCAGCATTTAATAAAAACTGGCTTTAATCGGTCAACTATTTTCTATGTTTTTCAATGGATGTCTATGTGAGACTTTAAATTTTCGGACAGCATGTGACCTGAAGCTGGTCTCTAATTGGTTTCTTAAAGATTCTCCTCAGGGCGCAAGTCGTTGCGTCCCTGGCCAATCAGAATTGGATACATGTTATTTTATCCAATCTGATTGGTTCTCGTCACCTGTCATTCAACTTTACGCTCTGGGCCACTACTGCGAGTGCGCAGGCGACACCACTTCGACACTTGCTAGGCTGATCAAATTTTTTGTGTAAACAATGGCAGCAGTTCATCCAAATTCTGTAATTTATTTACAAAAAAACCCTTTCACAAGGCTTTCGCTGGAAGAAATAAAAAAAATAAAGGATCTCGGACCGGACCAACCCGATTTACAAATCCAGCAGCAGGCCAGTGACAGAGGACGAAGCTACACACGAAGCTTCACCCGCGCTTGTTATGAGAAACGGAGGTGGCTGGCTGGATGTGATGTTAGCAATTCTCTTTTTTGTTTTCCCTGTCTTTTATTTCAAAGTGTCGGCACTGAAATTTTGTGGACAACGACGGGGGTAAGAGACCTCAAACATCTCTCTGACAAATGCAAACGTCATGAAAGTAGCCGCAGCCATATTGATAATAGCATGAAACTAACGTTTTTGGGCAGAGTTAGCATTGCTGAACAACTAGATGAAGGCTACAGGATTGGCATTAGAAGGCACAACGAAGAGGTGACAAAAAATCGACACATACTGTCCAGGATAATAGACTGTGAAATTTTGTGGAGCATTTGAGTTAGCGTTACGTGGCCATGATGAGAGTGAGAGCTCAGATAACCCCGGTATATTTCGCGGGTTGGTGGATTTTGTTGCCTCTCTTGATGGAGCATTGAAAGAGCACCTTGACAGTGCTACTGTATTTAAAGGAACGTCGAAAACTATACAGAACGAGCTACTGGACTGTATGTTGTCTGTTACAAGAGAAGAAATAATCAAAGAAGTCCAGACAAGTAGTTTTTTATCAATCCAGGCAGATGAAACAACAGATATTGCCACACAGTCCCAACTTGTGCTTGTGCTGCGCTACATCGACGACAAAAATAACGTGCAGGAAAGATTTTTTGAGTTCATCCCTCTGCAGTCAGCTACAGCTGAGTCCATTGCTACTGCACTAAAAGAGCGTCTTGCTTCTATCCTTCCTAAGGATCAGAAAAGTAAGCTCATCTGCCAGGCATATGATGGGGCCAGCGTGATGAGGGGTGCCACTGCAGGTGTTCAGAGAAAAATACAAGATGTGTACCCAAATGCCCACTACATCCGCTGCTACGCACATCAGCTCAACCTGATAATGCAACAGGCCACGTCTCACATATCCAAGACGAGAATATTTTTTTCTAACATTGGTGGATTTGCCAGCTTTTTTTCTAAGTCACCCAAGCGGACATGTTTTCTGGATAAAGTGGTTGCCCATAGACTGCCAAGATCCAGCAACATCAGATGGAACTTTCATAGCCGTGCCATTAATACTGTTTTTGAGCACAGAGAGGATCTCATTCACTGTTTTGAGAGCATACAAGACTCAGGTGACTTCGACCCCAATACTGTCAGAGAAGCAGGAGCCCTGGCCATGCTACTGGAGGATGAGGATTTTAAGTTCTTTCTGGAACTTTATCACCACACCATGCCACATGTAGACTTCCTCTATGCCAAGCTCCAGAAAAAGAACATTGATTCAGTCCATATCAAAGTGAGCATCCAACAGTTCCAACAAGAAATACAAAAGATCAGGTAACTTTATTCCTGTAATATGATCATTATTTGCTTTCTCTTTCATTTTTAACTCTCTTTATCCTTTGCCAAAATTATAATAAATTATCTTTGTCCTTTGCAGAAACTCTCTCCACTCCATTGGTGAGCAAAGCAGTGGTTCTCGTCCAACAAAGAGGCGCCGGGCGCTCAGTTCGGAAGACCGTGAAAGGATTGCAGCAGAGGTGAGTTTGTTATAGAAATCAGTCAAAATACCATTTTACATTATTGTTGTGCTGCAGAGATGTCCTGCCTACATATAATATTTTACAGACTCAAGAAAACATTTTTAGTTTGGTATAAATCCTAACAAAAATCTTAATTTTAATATACAATAGCATCCCAAAAATAATAAATTGGCAACATAAAAATAAATGATCAAATGAAATTTGAAGCCACCAAAAACTAGTCTTGTATGGGACAAAAACTCAAATGGCTCTATTTTTCTTTTGAAAGTTATTGCAACTGTGACAATTAGTGGTCTACTCCAGGCTACTACCTTACATTTATATATCTATTTGTTTAATTATCTCTATAGGTCTGTGACACAATCCTGGGACACACTAGGGAGCGTTTCTCCTTCACACACCACCTTGTCTGTGCCACCTTGTTGCAGGGGGACAGGTTTGATGAGTACAAGGATACCTTTCCTGAAGATGCATTGAGCAGCACCATGAAAGCGTACCCGATGCTCAGTGGAAGCAAGCTGAAGACGGAGCTCAGTCTCATCTACAGCAAGGAAGAGTTCAGAGCCTGCCGTGGTGCTGTGGACCTATTCCAGCTGTTTATGGAGAATAATCTCGAAGAAGTCTTTTCCGAAACTGTGACTCTCCTAAAAGTTATCATTACCACACCCATGACCACGGCTGAAGCTGAGAGGTGCTTCTCAACCTTGAAACGAATAAAAACTTTTCTCAGAAACACCATGACCCAGGAGAGGCTGAATGCACTGGCATTGCTGTCCATGGAAAAGAGACTTGTTACGGAGATGACTGACTTTAATCAGAGAGTAGTTGAGAAATTTGCTGGCCAGAAAGAAAGAAGAGCAAAATTTATGTTCAAGTAGGAAACATGCTTTTTGGTACTTTGGTCTGAAATGTATATAAAAGAGAAACATTTATGTTCAAGTAGGAAACATGCTTTTTGGTACTTCTTTTGGTCTGAAATGTAAATAAAGATCATCAAAATTTATAATCAAGTAGTCAAAATGGTTTTTGGTACTGCTTTATATTTATTTGCCCCCCTCAATAAAATAAAAAAAATGCGCCCCTCCAAAAATAAATATCACCAGCCGCCACTGATTTATACACTACACTATACACTACAGTGACACAGTAACTTGCTGACCCCGTGACCCCGACTGCACTGCAGTCGCAATAAAGATTCTGAATGTAATTGGTGGATCGAGCCACCAAAATTTGAACCACGACTCCGATCGTGTTTGCAGCTTATACAACTTAACTGGAAATCGAATCGCGATGTAAAAGGATGTCTGAATCGAGAACGACACTCCCTCCCAACTCAACGACGTCGCTTGAGGAATCGGAATCGATGCCTCAACTAAGTTATAACTACTAATCGATTCGGATCGAGTTCTCCGTTCCCAGTTGTTGACTGAGTCGCCTCGAGTCCTGCAACTCCTCATCACCGTGAGTTCCCCCCTCACCCCCCTCCCAGCCGTCTTTGTCTTCCCCCCTCCCGAGAGAGAGCGACAGACAAAGAAGCCCCCCCCCCCGTCAAAATGCCGAGGCGTTAAACCACCCCTCTGAGGCGATGCCTCGAGAGACACCGCCCCTCGGATAGAATCCGTACCGGCCGAGGCGCGAGGTGCTCGGTAGGCCGGCCTAGGCCGATGCCGGTCACGCGCGGTCGGCGGCGGTGGGGAGGGAAATTAAAAACAACTTTAATAACATTTCAATTAATATCTCCTCCTATTTATATTTGTGTCTTTAAGTCGCGACGTTGAGTTGGTGGTGGTGGGGGGGAGTTTAAGCGGCTCGCGACTGACGGAGTGGTGTGGTGAGAGTGAGGCGCTGTGTGCGAGTGATCCACACGCGTGCACTGCTGCGCTCTATACACACAGCTTGTTGCTGTTGTAGACAATCTGTTGAGTTATTTGTTTACTTGTCCTGTACGCTGCCCCTGCCGTCGTGTCTTGTGTGCGCGTTGTGTGTTTGTTATTGTAACGTTCTGACCCCAGTGGCCCCCGACTGGACACCTGTGATGAAAGAGTTTCAGAGCTTTTCGGATTCCTCCTTCAGTATAAATGCAGATTCTGGTGCTTAGAGACCCATACATAGACACATACAGAGACCCACAGAGACCCATACTCAGTCCCATAGATACCCACATATCCATACATATGTAATATCTCAATAATGGCGGGAGACGAGTTGACGGGGCAGCACTTATTTATTAACAATGGTTGCACAGTAACAGGCACAACCTAGATAACGCCTACGCTACGCGTGCCTAGCTCGGCCACGCACTCAGTCTCTCCCGTAGGGTACGCGTGCCTAACTCTGCCTTGCACTCAGGCTCTCCGGCTACGCTCTCCCCACGGGGAGCTATCAGACCCGCCTTGCCAGGCCACGGGTCTCGACCACTGAGTTACACAGCCCGGCCCTTACAAGGACGTCGGGCCGTGAATCCCAAGGCCTCGCCTCTGAGCCTCACAGAGCCCCGGCCCTTACAAGGGCAGCGGAGCTAGGGGTCTCAGGGCCTATCTTTTCCTCCGTCTTCTGTCTTCACCGGTTACCAACTCCCCGAGTGCCCCCGCGCATCGCCTTACATAGCCCTCCGCTCCAGGGGGCGGGGCCTATGCGGACCGCGATGTGGGCACCCGCCTGCGGACCGTGATGTAGCCACCCACCACGCGCTGTCTCACGATCCTCCCCGCCAGCACGTATCACCGCTACATCACCCCCTCCCACATAGCTCGCAGCCGGCCCGGCTGCAAAAAAAACCCTCTCCGCATGTGCGACAACACAACACAACCCAACAACACAACCGCAATAAATCAGAACATTAAACAGTAATAAGAACGAACATATGTACACACCGACGAGTAAACCGAATAAAATATTTACAAGAATGACGTGTTCAGCGTCCCCTCGACCCCCTGGTCCCCCCGCTCGCCCCTTGAACGGAACATTAGAACGGTCGGACGGGGAACGCTGTGACGAGACGATCCGGCGGAACCGTCCCGTGCCCCCCCCCCCCCCTTTTTAGTCAGGAAAAGTGGCGCGACCTAGCGCGAGTCCGCCTGGCCGGTCCATCGTACGGGACAGGACGTGGTTGACCGTCCGGTTGCTCCGGCAGCCCAGGAAGGCACGGAGCAGGCTTGGAAGAACCGCACGTGCCTTGGGGATCCGGTCGCCGACGGTCGGCAGCCGTCAGTTCCGAGACACCTGGGAGCGGATCAGGCGGAGACATGTGAGGATCAGGCGGAGACATTTCCCTCCCCGAGTCGACGGCCACATCACATGCTCGGTCATCACGACATAAAGGAAGGCCATATGGTGCCGAGAACGGTTTCAGCCGGGAGGGGTGAACGTACCAACGGCGCTTTCCCCATTTTATCTGAATGCACTGGGGTCGTGCAACCCGCACGACTTCCACGGGTCCCCGCCATGGCCTCAGTAGTTTAGGGGATGTAGCCAACGGCGCATGCGGGCAGTGCAGCCAGGCCCTATCGCCCGGTTTCCATTCGTGCACGTACACCTTTCGTGCACGGAACCGCTCGTTAGCAATTTGGCGAGACCTCGAATTCAGCCTTGCAGCCTCCCGTGCTTCGGCCAGTTTCGCTATGTTAAATTTAATATGGTCGGCCAACTTAGATCTAGGCCGCGGCTCGGGAATCCCCAGCTGGGCCTCCATGGGCGGATCGGCCTCCCGACCGTACATGAGATAAAATGGGGAAAACCCCGTAGCCACATGGGGGGCCATCCTGTACGCGGCGAGGACACCAGGGACCTGCAAGTCCCAGTCAACCTGTGCCTCGCATACCTGTTGGCATAACATGGAAGTAATCGTTCTGTGGAGTCGCTCCACCATCCCATCAGTCTGTGGGTGGTACGGGGAGGTACGCACTTTTTTTGTATCCAAAAGGTCGCACACCTCATGCAGTAAAATGCTCGAAAAATCTTTTCCCTGGTCGGTCAGCAAGCTTTCGGGAGCACCCTTGTCCAAGACATAGCCCTGGACAAGGCGTCCGCCACGGCCGCTGCCGACTGGTTGGCAAGCGGCCATGCCATGGGCCATCGAGTGAAGTATTCCACACCAACCAGCAGGTACTTGTTACCCCTAGGCGTCACCGGAAAAGGCCCCAAGATATCCAGCGCAACGAGCTCGTTCGTGCGCGAGACCTGAATGGACTGTAGCGGTGGATTAGCCGCAATGGGCGGTGGTTTCCGTTGAGCGCACCCTACACACCCCTTGAGTATGTTCACCACATCGCTCCCCATCCCCGGCCAATAATAGTCCCGCTGGAGCAGAGCGAGCGTTTTGTTAACTCTCAGATGCAAGAGGCGTTCGTGTGCGGCCAGAACAACTCTGCCCCACATAGCAGAAGGCACGACAAGCGCGTGTCGCCGGGACATACTGTCCCATCTCATGAGTAGGCCCTGTTTAAGCACCCAGGAGCCGGCTCCCTTCTGCCCTTCTTCGGGACCCCCTGCCCTACGACGCAACGCAAGTAGGGAGCTGTCAGCCATCTGGAGTCGGCCCCACTCAACGAGGGACAACGAAAGTAGCGAGTCCCCACCCGCGGGAGTAGCGGGAACGTCGACCCGCGGTGCATTCGCGGCCGCGACCAACTCACCCCCGGGGACAGCGACATGCGGCTTACAGCGCACCGACCCCAGAAAACACGCACATTCGGAACGAGGCGACAACCGCGACAGGGCATCCGCGTTGGTGTGGCGCAACCCCTTACGGTAAGTGGTCGTAAATTGGTAGTCCTGGAGGACCTCCAACCATCGTGATAATTGTCCCGAGGGTTGGGCGACCCGCAATGCGTATTGAAGCGCCGCGTGGTCCGTACGGACCGTAAAATGACGGCCGTAGAGATACGGTCTGAATTGCTGTACAAAAAAAACGATAGCCAGCAACTCGCGACGGGTCACACAGTAGCGCTGTTCCGCTGGTGACAAAACCCTGCTACCGTAGGCGACCACCTGTTCGACTCCCCCGACCACCTGTGAGAGCACCCCCCCAATGCCTGTGTTACTGGCATCCGTATCCAGCAGGAAGGGTTTCGTAAAATCAGGGTAACACAAGGGCAGGGCACTCACCAAGGCATCCCGAAGGGAGCAAAACGCGGCCTCCTCCTCCGGCCCCCAGCGAAACCTGACCCCTTTAGCTGTCAGAGCATGCAGGGGTTTGGCTATGGTGGCGAAGTGCTCCAAGAACCGACGGTAGTAGGAAGCAAACCCAATGAAGCTGCGGACCTCAGTAACCGACGTAGGTGTCGGCCATGAACTGACGCAGTGTGTCTTCGCGGGATCGGTGGAGATCCCCGAACGGCCGACAATGTGCCCCAAGTACCGTACGGATTCCCGAAGTAGGTGGCATTTCGCCGGTTTAAACTTTAACTTAGCCGATCGCATCCTCAGGAACACTCCCCTTAAGCGTTGGAGGTGCTCCTCGAAAGTTCTACTGTAAACAATGACGTCGTCAATGTAAATCAAGCAGGTGTCCCATTGGAGACCCGACAAAACCAATTCCATAAGCCTCTGAAACGTCGCGGGAGCAGAATGGAGTCCCATGGGCAAGCGATTAAACTGAAACAGGCCTACCGGGGTCCGGAATGCGGTCTTAGGTTTCGACTCCTCATCGAGCGGCAATTGCCAGAATCCCGGCAGTAGGTCTAGCGTAGAAAAATAACGCGCCCCTGCTAATGCATCCAGAGATTCATCCATTCTGGGGAGCGGATACGCGTCAGCCACGGAGATCTTATTGAGGCGGCGGAAATCTACACAATCGCAAGGACCCGTCTTGTTTTTTAACAAGCACGATGGGTGCTCCCCATGGACTGGATGAAGGCGAAATGATGTCGGCGGTCAGCATGTCATTGACGGCCGATTGAACGTGTTCCTTCTCGGTTGGGCTTAACCGGAAGGGATTCTGCCGAACCGGGGCCGGGTCACCCGTTTCAATGTGGTGGCGTAACACGTCCGTGCACCCAATATCATATTTGTGCTTGCTGAACACGTCCGAGAATTCAATTAGCAGGGCGCGCAGCGCCCCCAATTGCACACCCGACAAGTTACTGGAGCCCGCACATAGCGAGTCCAACCACTGTTGATCTTCCCCCGATTGAAATTTCGGCGCCGGAGCGGGATAAACGTGCGCAATGAGCCGCTCTTCCTCAGGGACCGGCGCCGCGTGAGCAAGCACGGTGCCCTGTGGAATGACGGCCGGCCGCGACCCAGCGTTCAAAACCATGATGGGTCCCTGTCCGCCCGTACCAACGTCTGAGCCACCGCCAAGTCCAGACCCCCAACAGCTCTGTTCGACGGAGCCAACAACACGCCCTGCCCCGCAGTCTCCCCACCCAATGGCTTCCGTAACCGGAGGGGTACCAGCATCTGCGAACCCGGGGGTACGTGCACCGTATGGGTCGCCAGCGCTTGGACCGTCGCACAAG